GAAATCTTTTTTAAAAAATTAGAATTTTGAAAAATTTGTATTTGCCACTGTGAGCTTGACAGGTCCCTGGTATTTAAAGACTCATCAGACTCTAGATCTCGGAGTCATAAATTCAAGCTCCATGTTGGGCATAGAGCTTACTTTATCAAAAATAAAATAAAAAAGACTCACTAGAGAATATGAGATAGTTAACAGTATAAACAAATGTGGTTTTAAAATATATTATAAAATATTGAAATGTGAAATGTGTAAACACTTGGAAGATCTTGCAAGTATCAGTGAAATAATATTTCTAAATGACCAGGGCATGATGTAATACAATCACGTGCAGGTAAAAGATCCATTCAAAGCACAGAATTGACTAGTGCATTTTATTATAACCCGATATGAAAAATTCATTGGTATAGTTTTAGATCTCACATTGCAACTAACCTTTAAGAAACTTCTATTAGTTGCGTCTTGGTGTGGTATCATCAAACAGTATCCAGAATGACCTAAAAAGACCATTGAAATACTCCTCCACTTTTTTACTATGAATCTGTGTGCAGTCTTATTTTTTTGTATACTTCAACCAAAAGTAAGGAATCACACCAGATTGAATGCAGAAGCATCTGAACACCCAGCTGTCTTCTATTAGGCCAGACATGAAAGAGATTTGCAAAATACACAACAGTGCCAGTCTTCTCACTTCTTTTTCTTATTGTTTTGGAAAGGAAAGTTCTTAAAAAGAAAACAGTGCTAATTATTTTAACATGTAATGGATTTAGTGTTGTCTTTTTAAATGAATTAATAAATATGTTTAAAAACTCTCTCAGTTTTTAATATCTGATAGAGTAAATTATGATAGCCATAACCCACATAAATAAAAGCTTTTGGAGATCCTTAAGGAGTCTTCAGAACTGTTATTATATAATATCACAAGAGAAGGGGTGCATTTTTGATAATGGCCCCATCTCCAAAGTGGCAACGGTGGGCAGCCCAGGTGGCTCAGTGGTTTAGCGCCTGCCTTCAGCCCAGGGTGTGATCCTGGAGACCCAGGATCGAGTCCCATGTCGGGCTCCCTGCATGGTGCCTACTTCTCCCTCTGCCTGTGTCTCTCATGAATAAATAAATAAAATCTTAAAAAAAAAAAAGTGGCAACGGCTATTTTTTAAAGGGCCATTTATATTTGCCCACAAAGGAGTCTTTTTAATATTGGAATGTTTTTCCATTAAGTTTTCCACATTTTGGTCAAGAATGTAAGTGGGTTGATTAGTTTTTCATCTGTTTTGAATTTGCTTTTAGTTGCTGTCAAAAAAGTCCATGCTGTGGCAATCCATGTGATGGGAGCTGTAGAGTGTGGCATCATTAGAAATGCTTTAGTATTTTTAAAAATTTTATTTGTGACAATATTTTATTTCGTTTCATTATTTTTTAAGTAAGCTCTATATCCAGAGTGGAACTCAAACTCATGACCCTGAGACCAAGAGTCACATGTTCCACCAACGGAGCCAACCAGGCACCCCTAGAGATGTTTTAATACAGCATAAAAAGAGCAATACTATATCGACAAACAAGTACTAGCCTTATTTGTTACTACTGAGTAAAGTTTTTAGTATTAAGATCTTCTATCTTATTTTGACCTTATTTAAGTGCCTTATTATAGCTTGCCAAATGTTCCTGAATATAGATAACTTTATTGAAAACATATTGCTGGTTTGGGACGAGTAATTTTTAAGGTAGACTCAATTCAAATGTAGATTTTTTTTTTTTTAAAGAGTTTTGGTATCAAGCGCTGTTGTTCTGTATTGTATACATGGGGCTAAAAAAAAATTCCATACTAATAGGGAAAAATATGTAGTTAGACCATCCTCAGGACAATCTAAGAACTGATGATGGTGTTAGCAAGTTTTCAGGGAAACCCCTATAACTCCTGAAAAATAGTAAAGTTCTGAGGATGGGAGAGGAAACAGGAGAGGACTCTCAAATGATGGGAGGGCTGTGGAAAGGAGTTTTTAAATAAATAGGATTGCTATGAAACTAGATTAGCAAAGGGTTACCTACTGACCAGCCCAGAGCTTTAAACAAGCCTTGCTCTAAATAGCTAGGAATGGGGCAGCCAGGGTGGCTCAACTGTTTAGCGCCGCCTTCAATCCGGGGTGTGATCCTGGAGACCTGGGATCGAGTCCTATGTCGGGCTCCCTGCGTGGAGCCTGTTTCTCCCTCTGCCTCTCTCTCTCTCTGTCTCTCATGAATAAATAAATAATATCTTAAAAAAATAAATAAATAGCTAGGAATGATTTGTAAGCATTACTTGAGTTGTTTGTATATTTGTTCTTTCAAGTAGTTTCAAGTGACCTACAGTCTTGTTTACACTATTAATTTGCTTGACAACCCTTGTCTTTATAGATGGCATAAATAAATCACCTTCCTGACTAGCATTTCTTGAAGTGGAACCTCGATGCCTGTGGAATATATTATTGGAGACCAAGAATCAATGAGAACCTCTAATAGTTGTCCCTTGTTTTTTTTTTTTTTTTAAGATTTTATTTATTTATTCATGAGAGACACAGAGAAAGAGAGAGACAGAGACAGAGACAGACCGGCAGAGGGAGAAGCAGGCTCCATGCAGGGAGCCTGACATGGGACTCAATCCCGGGTCTCCAGGATCACACCCTGGGCTGAAGGCGGCGCTAAACCGCTGGGCCACCAGGACTGCCCTGTCCCATAAAAAACATATGGTAATATAAACGATCATTCGATCGAAAGACAAACAGTTGACAGTGATTCTTTTCCATGAGAAGAAACACACCAGTAAAACCCAACAGTCTCTCAAACTGTTCTGTGGGCCTGGGTGGGAGTAAGGTGGAGGAAATGAGTTTTCTTTAAGAATAGAATTTCAGGAATCCCTGGGTGGCGCAGTGGTTTGGCGCCTGCCTTTGGCCCAGGGCGCGATCCTGGAGACCCGGGATCGAATCCCACGTCAGGCACCCAGTGCATGGAGCCTGCTTATGTCTCTGCCTCTCTCTCTCTCTCTCTCTGTGACTATCATAAATAAATAAAAAAATAGAATTTCAGACATTGGAGAAAAAAGTGTTTTTGACTCTGCCGCCTGCCCGCACCCACCCAGGTTGGACTTCTAGGGAACTGTGTGTACTCATTTTACAGTTTGCACAGCTTTGAATGGAACACAGAATAAAAGTGTGAGTACAGGTATCAGGTCGAAGATGCTAGAGTCTTTTTTGTTCTTTGTTCTTTGTTTTGGTTTTTAAGATTTCATTTATTTATTCATGAGAGACGCCGAGAGAGGCAGAGGGAGAAGGAGGTACAGGACTGGATCCCAGGACCCCAGGACCATGCCCTGAGCTGAAGGCAGATGCTCAACCACTGAGCCACCCAGGCGTCCCAAGATGCTAGGTTTTAAAACCAAGCTGTGGGATGGCACCCAGTGTGTCCTGTTGGATCACACACGCCTTTGACAGGATTAAATTGTGGCTTTGTATTTTTATGCTCGATTAGACTCTTTTCCCATTTGACATGGTCTTCATGACCGAGTTGTGAAATTAGACAGGGATTGATGCTGAATCTTTAGGCAAATGATTATACACTGGGCTATGTTCAGTGGCCTTCGGTGGTGAAGTCCCAGGCTGGGGCCAGACCTGCATTTTCTATTCCTGCCACACACACAGCCCCAGGAGACAGCAGACATCTTTCTTTCGTGGCAGCTCCCCCTTCCCTGACACTCCCTTCACTTCCCCAGGCCTTTGTGGGCTCTGTGGGTCAGGCCCTCCTCACTAACTCAGTGCAGAGCTGCAGCCAGCTTTACTCTTGGATCCCTGGCTGTGGCTTCAGCAACTCTAGCCCACAGGCCTCCCGCCTTGAACTCCGAATTAGGTCTGCATTTCCAGTTCCCTTCTGGACCTGACACTCCCTCGAGCAACATGCCACTTCACCCCAAATGCTACCTCTAGGCTCTCTAGTCCCAGGAGCCAGAGGCAGGGAGGCCCCCAGAATCCCGCCTCTCCTTCATATCCCTTTGCAGCCTCCTCCTGCAATCGGCTGCTGAGATGAGTTGATTGTAGTTGTTTCAGGTCCATACGTCCTTCCCTCTCCTCCCATTTTCCCTCCTCTGGACTAGGGAACCATCTCCCAGCTTCCACCTCCTGGCAATTCCAAACACGTCTGTGGGGGTGCCCTCTCCCCTTGCAGGTTCAGCAGCTCACTTGTGCCCACTTCAGAGAGGTGAAACTACTTTGCTCGTTGTTTGAGGCCTGGGGTGATGGGCTGGAATCTGTCTAGTTTCTTACCCACCACCATCCTTCCCTTGGACGGTGGGACCCAGCCCCCACCTTGGCTCCAGCCTGACAAGTCCCCTCCCTTCCCCACTCCTGGATATGTCCATGCCTTTGCAGTAGCTGTGGCTAGAATACTCCTCTCATTCTTCCAGGCTAGGAACCTGCAGGCAGGCATCTGCAGATGGGGCTCTATTTCTGTTCGACCCGGCTCCTTTCCTGACACACAGTGTGGGGTTGATAAATGTTTCAATGTTTGAATAAAGTCCGCATGAGTCATTTTATTTATCTGTTTGAAGAAAGCAGCGTTTTGTAACTCCTCAACTCCTCTTGCTCCCATTTGCTTGCCCCAAATTTCCATGAGCTGTTAGGAATCAGAGATAGCAGGTAAGGTGCTGGCAGCACCACTGAGTTGATCTGGGTGTTTCACCTCTCGGCTTTTGGAATCTGGGAAAGATATTTTCCTTTTCACTGGGACGTTAACTATATCCCCAAACCATGTTTCTAACATGAACAAATGGGTCAGAGTTCAGTACCCCAGGCAGTTTTCAAACCAAATTTGGTAATGTTGATTTAAAACTGCTCAACAAGAAAAGCACCCAGTACAATCATGGAAAATATTAGAACTGCTTTCTACGTAGCGACATATTGTTGAGAGAATTGTTCACTGAAATTATATTAATCACAGGGAAGGATTATAAGCTCTCTCTCTCTTTGTTTTTTAAACAGGATCAATTTGACAACTTAGAAAAACACACACAGTGGGGAATTGACATTCTTGAGAAATACATCAAATTTGTAAAGGAGAGGACAGAGATCGAACTCAGCTATGCAAAGCAACTCAGGTAAGTTGATATAGAAAAAGGCTATTGGTTAACTGCAAAATGGATGTAACTATAATTTATATTCTCATTTATACTGTGAATGTATAGTCCTTTAAATATTTCATTTCCTCTTTTATGTGAGGTAATATATTTGAACAGAAATCATTGCTTTTACTATAGAAAATTCATTTTCATGGAACAATAAAAATAAAAACTAAGTTATTGCCCTCTGGCTCTGGTTTTTTTTTTTTTTTTGAAGGATATTTTCTGAATATACTTGGAAAAATAAGTATATTCTTTTCAGAAAACTCCTAATTGAAATATAACGTATCTGTGCAGAGAAGTACACATCCTAAGTGTACAGCCCCAGAAATCTTCAGAGTGAACACCCCTGTGTCACCAGGACCCAGATACTAGAAACAGGCAAATCCAGCCCCAGAGGCCCCCTGCCCTTCTGGTGCCTCACCCTCTTCCCATGGTTGTACACTCTTCTGATTTCCAATGACACAGACAGTCTTGTCTGTTTTTGAACCTCATGTGAACATATTCACTTATTAGGCACTGTTTGTATTTGCCTTCTTTTGTTGTACATTATGTTTGTGAGATTCATTTACGTGGCTGCATACAGTGGTAGCTTCTTTTCATTGGTGGTTGGCATCTGGGTGTGTGAGTATACCACAGTCCATCCATTCCGCTGCCCCTGGCGATTGCTTGTCCCCTGTGTGGGGTTATAAAGTCTGTCTACACCCAGGAGTGGAAATGTGGGGTCATTGATGTTTAGCTTTAAGTAAACAGTTTTCCAAAATGCTTCTCCCGATCTACCCTCCATCCAGCAGCCTGTAAGAGTCCTGTGGAGCAGCATTTTAAAAGTGCTTGGACCTCTTACATCTTTAACGTTGAAATTATCCAAGAAATGTGTGCTTTTAGATAAAATGTGTGCTTTTAAATAAAATGTGTAAAAGTTGTTGGTAGAACAAAGCTGGAACTTGATGTGGCATGCACAATCTTTAATGATCTCTTGTTTGGTTGAATTGGTTTATGCTGATTGTTTTAAGGCCTATTAAAGATCTGACACCACCCCCCCACCATACAAACACACAAAAAGAAACCTGATAAAGATCCAGATGACTTTTGGCATAGAAACATTTAATTTGAACCCAAAGAGTGTCTGTAGAAGGAGTATATTCATGTGTCACTGAGAGAAGGTAGATTCTTTTAGAGCTGGTATTGTTTATAAATAAGCACCTGAATGGTGCATATGGATTGCTTTTATGGATGACAAGTTTTGTTTCCATTGAGTAAATAAAACATAAAACATATTGCTCAATGAAACAACCGTTATGACTTGCTGAATCCAGATGGATTTCTAGCACTGTGTATATGAATCAGCCTCTCATCCTGAATGTAGGAATAGGGAAGGGGCTGCTTCATGCTGATTATCTAAATATTGCACTGGTAGTCATAAAATGGCTTTCCTATGAAAATGGGATACATACATCTTTAGCCTAAACACGGTCTTGCCTTATGGATTTATCTGTGTTTGTTGTCTCTCTTTTTCTATTAGCTGACGCTTGTCTTCCCTGACACCTTTGTCACGATCTTGTTTTGTTTGGGAGGTTTGTGATTAGATGCCATTAATTCAGCACTAGCAAGTGTCTGCTCCGTTCTGTATCACGAAAGGAAAGGCCTTTCTTAGTTCCTCCTGTGGATCACACTCTGGCTTCTCGCCCTTTCTCATCACCCTAGGTGAGGGATGGAGGATGCAAGTAACAAAATGGGAGGCTCTTGCAAAAGAATGCAAATTCCAGTGTGGGTTTAGGGTAAGGTATAATGGCTCTCCATTGATGTTTTACCCTCTTGTAGATCATGTTTCACAACTTGAAACAGGATTAGTATTAGGGTTCTGATGGTAATTTGGTACGTACTTTTCCTGGGATTTAAATAGATATTTAGTAGGCTCTACACCCAATGTGGGGCTCAAACTTACAACCCCTAGACCAAGAGTCACATGTTCCACCAACTGAGCCAGCCAGGTGCCCCCTGAGATTTAACTATTAACATTTGTTTTATTACATCCCTAAGAGGTGTCTCAATTTGTCCTTGTTGGGAGAAGGTGATATACAGGATCAGGAGTAATTGAACAAATGCCTTCAAGATGATTACTAACCCTTCAGACTGTTCTTCTCCTTGATACTGAGCTGCAGTGCTGATACATAAGCATCCTCTCTCCTTTGGGGGTTTGCTTCCCCACTCACCCAAGTGACTCAGCATCTCCCCTTTCTGCAAATCCAGCACCTCCTTTCCCATCCTCCCCACTTGCTTGCTATGTCACTAAAAACATGGAAGCAGTCAGAAGACGACTTCCTCAGACTCTCAGCATCTGACCACATGTCTCTGTGCCCCCTGCCCCGAGATGCTTCTGTCTAAATCCAGGCACCCCTCCTGTGCACCAGGTGTCACCTCTACCTCTGACTCTGGAACTCAGCCCCAGTGGTTCTCTCTCCCATGCCCTCAGTTCTTCATTCTCTGGTGGATTATTATCCCAATTGACACATGAGCATGCCGTCCTTCAAAAACAAACTTCCTTTGAACTCACTCTCCTCACCATCTGCCACCATTTCTCTGCTCCCCTTTCCAGCCAAACTTCTCAGGAGTACCTTCCTTGCTGGCTCCAGTCCCTCCCCTCTCTCTACGTTAAACTAACCCTGCACCACTCAGCCTGAACTGCTCTTCAGGTGACTTCCATATCCTTCAACCCAGTCACCTATCCTCAGTTCAGAGTCCTTGGCCCATTAGCAGCTTTGACGAGGTAGATGCTTCTTCCTCCTTCTCTCTTGGCCTCTGAAATTCCAATCTGGCTTCCTTCCTACCTCACTGGGAGTTCCTTCTCACCCTGCTTGCTGGGTTCTCCTTCTCCCCCTGTCTCTTCATCCGATGTGCGCTAATACCCAGTCCCTGTCATCTTACCCTCTCGATCTGTATTCCCTTGAGAATCTCATCTGGCTTTAACTATGATCTCTGTGACAGTGGCTCACAGATGTGTTCCTCCAAGGTAAACCTCTATCCTGGACTCTGACACAGATTATGCATCATCTCCAGTTGGATGTCTAAAACCTATCTGAAATACATGTCTGAAACCGAATCTGTCCACTTAAAATCTACATTTGCATAGCCCAACTTTTCCCTAGGCACTTGAGGGCAGCTGCCTCCTTCCTTGTTAGGTCAGAAACCCTGGAGTCTCCTTTGGCTCCCTTCTTTCTCTGCCACTACCCACTCCCATCCCCAGTCTAAGCCATCAAGAAGTCCTGGTGACTGTACTTCGAAAGTTTATGCAGGATCTGACCCCTACTGGTAAACTCCACCGTGGTCCAGTCTCCATCACCTCTCAGCTGGGTTATTATGAGGCTTTTAACTGGTTTCTCTTATTCCCTTCTTATTTCCTCTTGTCTGTTTTCCACAAAGCAGCTAGATCTTGGCAGTCTCTTCAAAATTCCAACAACTCCCCATTTTACTCCGTAAATCAGAATCCTTACCATGGATGTCCTACAAAGCCCTATGTGATCATATCCCCCAGCCTCTGACATCATTTCTTTCCTTCTTCTCCCTCCTCTCTGCTCTAGCAATACCAGCCTCCTTGCTGTTTCTTGTACACACCAGGCATGCTCTCACTCCAGGGCTCACCTTTCCATGTGGGTATCATTTATATGTTCTTCTCCTCGATCCACAGGGCCACCCCCTTGCCTCCTTCAAGTCTTTCCTCAGATGTCATCTGCTCAGTGAGGCCTACCTCATCTGCTGTACTTTATGGCTTTTCCATAGCACTCATAACTTCCTAACATTCTTTATAATTTTCTTAGATATCATGTTTACTGCTCATTTCTTCCACTGCTCCTCCACTACAATGGAAGAAGCCCCTTTAGGGCAGGGGATTTGAGTTGTGTTCCCTAGAGTATCCCAGTAGTATGGAACAGTGCCTGATGCATACTAGGTACTCAGTAAATAGTTGTAGAAAGAGTGAATTGACAGGTCCGGATCTAAGATGTTTGGTCCTTAGTGCTTCAAGGAGAATCATGTGTTTGCACAGGCTGTGAGAGCTGATGAGGGCTTACCAACAAACAGAACAACCAATAATATGTCAACAGAGTTCCAGGGGAGCTCTAAGGAATGAGATACCTTGGAGCTCACCTTCTCACTGTGGAAAATAGACTCCACATGCAACTAAGCAAAATATCAAATCATTTAAAGATAACATTTATCATCCCAGATAAGAAAAGCCAGTGATGTAATAGAGCATGATGGTGGGTGGGGGTTACTTAACTAGACTGGACAGGGAAAACTGTTGCTTGAGAACAGAAGGACAGAGAGGGCAGGCATGCCAAAGTCTGGACATAGCTCTTCCAGGCCAAAGAATCATCAAGTGCAAAGGTCCTGAGGTGGAAACATGTTCAAGGAATGGAAAGGCCAGTGTGACTGATGCATAGTCCATAAATGCTTGCTTGAAATAGCAGTATGATGTTGAAAAAGCAACATGATCTTTTTGGGGAGACCTCTGGTATTAAGTCATTTTAATTTTTTTTTAACATTAGAGGAAAAGAAATGCTAACTGATTTTAGAAGCAAAGGATGATAATTAGGGCTCTGATTTCTATAGGTTTAGACATACTACAGGCCAAGTCCCAATCCATCCACTGCCTGGTATTGTAAATAAAGTTTTACAGAAACACAGCCTCATCCATTCATTAATGTATTGTCTATGGCTGCTTCTGAAAAACAATTTCAATTGACTAGTTGCCACAGGACCATGTTACCTACTTGCAAGTCTATCTTATCTTTTACAGAAAAAATTTACTGACCCTTGTTATACTTACTTCAGAGTTATTTAATATTTCTTCAAGGCAATGTAAGGTCAAATTCCTAACAAAGTTTTAAAACATCTCATATGACCTATCTAAGAGCACCAATTATTGATTGCCTGTTCGACTGTTAATTTTTTTTAAAAAAGCTAAATTATTTGTTATGACC